CACTCATCTATCTGTCTGTATGTCTGTCGGTCTACCTATCTACCTATTTCAATTCATCCATCCAACCACTCATCTCTCTCATCTATCTATCCACCTATTTACCTGTCTACTTATTTCAATCCATGCATGCATACATCCATCCACCCATGGGGCTTAACTCTCCTGGAAGGGCAGCTGTCTTAAATTGGGGCGGGGGGAGAATCAGCCACACAGAAAGTAACCTCATCCTCTTGGAGGTTTTCCTTAGGTCCCCAGAGAAGACCAAACAGGGTATGAGCAGGCGTGCGGTTCAACCAGTGCAACAACCGGTTTTCTGCTGACCTTCTCCAGCAATCCCCGTGCCGCGCAAATCAGCTGAGCTTGCAAAACAGGATAGAAAGCACAGCATAGAGCCCAGGCAGGCGGGTGGGCCCAACAGCTGATCATCAGAGCAAACCGAACCAGTTCTCTCCCAGCTGATCCTCAGAACTACCAGTTTGCCTGAACTGGCCTGAACCAGTAGAATTCCCACCCCTGGGTATGAGTAGAGATGAGTATATTGCTATGATGGAAATGTCGAAAGAAACTCAAGCACTTATACCTCTGTGTACTCTCTTTGCTGGCTAGAAGTAAGCTTAGCAGCTGTGTCCTCTCACCATAATTATATTTACTGGAGCACCATGCATAATCCAGAAGAAAAAATTCCATAGGAGATCATCTACTTCTCTTGAGTGATGAGAATGTTTCCACTGTTCTTACCAGGCCAAGTCTATGTGTGTGTGTGTATATATATATATATTTTCCCAAGAATATCTGATTCAAATTATTAGCAGTGCAGGAATTCTCAAAGGTTATTTCTTCATATAACTTTCAGCCTGGCTGTATATTTAAAATGTTTCACCCTACAAAGTGAGTCGCAAAAACACTGTAGCCAAAAAATTAAACTGGGCCTTTGTTTTCCTGATAGTTCCGATGAGCAAAAATACTGACCTGATAGTCCATTTCAACTTCTGATTGTTCGGAAGTGATTCATAAGATATTTAAGGCTCTCTCTATATATCTGGTTGAGTAATGTAGCCTAAATCATTTATCCATGTATATAGAGTTGTCAGCAGATTGATATTTTTGTTTGTGCATATATAGGGATAGAAAGCGAGGGGGTCCTTGGTGCTCTCTGAGCTGGGTTGTTTCCATGCAGATGTTTCATTACCCAACTAGGTAACATCATCAGTGCTGGTGTGTGTGACTTGCTCCCTGTTTATATACAGTAGCTCTGAGCTTAGTTGTTTTTCTTGCAGACGTTTCATTACCTAAATTAGGTAATAGCATCAGGGCTGCTGATGCTAGAAAGTAGGTAGAAATGAAAAATGTATAACTATACTTCATCCATGAATATTCAATTCTTCTGTGCACTTGTGGAAAAGCATACAAATGGAAACTGTAGTTAATGTAAATACTTTGCAAACTACTAAGAACTCTATTGTCAAAGCAACACCTGTATATTACTGGAACTCTCCTTGGTCCTGTAAGATGCATTGCTTCTCTCTTATCAGGGATCCAGCCATTAAATGAATCTCATCAATATATGCTAAAAAGTGCCTTGAAGTTTCCCAAATGATTTCTTCTGTTTCTTTCTGGGGTGCCTTTTGAATCTCTGTTGTCTTTTAATGGGGTATTTTCATTCTCAAAAGGTGGTAGAAATTAGAGATCTCCTTCCCTCTCCAACTTGCCTAGATTTTCTGGATTGGAAAAAGGTTCCCCCAGAACACCCTATCTCCTTACTTCTATTGAAACTTCATGGAAGCCTTGAAAACTGGCAGACTATCTGAGAGATGATTACACAGAGCAGCACACTGACACACATCCTGTATAATTGAAGCCGGGCAAAGCAATCTTGCAACGTTCTTGTGAGAATTTGATTCCCAGAAAACATACTTCATCATTCCACTTTAATGATTTTCCAGCGGGTCACAATCCCCGCCTCCACACATGCGTGCTCACACACAAACGCACACACGTGTGTGTCACAAGTCATGCGCCCAAACTCATCTGCAGCTAAGCTAATGATAGCAAGATGTGCTCATAAGCTGGAGATGGGAGCTGTGCATAAAATATTTAACCGTGGGGAAGTTTGAAAGGGGCTCTTGGTAGCTCATTAGTATAGTTTGATTTGTTGGAGGTGAGTTGAAGGGATGAAAAAGCACCTGAGCTGCATATGAAGCAGGGATTCCAAGCAAGGATGGTGCGTGAGAGAAATTTGAAAGCAGAGGTCAAGATTAATAATGGAACATAGAATTTGGCTTTGCCAGTGTTCCATTAAGCTCAGTAATGTGAACATTGGTTATAGCAACTGTGAGTTTTTTTCTCTGTCTTTCCAGAAGATCTGGGGGTGAAACCTGGACCCTTCTACCTGTAGATAACAGAAGAACAGAGGGAAGGGACCTTGGAGATCCTCTAGCCCAACCCCCTGCCCAAGCAGGAGAACCTACACTTCTGAACAAGTGGCTCTCCAGTCTCTTTTGAAAAGCTTCCATTTATGGAGCCCGATAGATAGATAGATAGATAGATAGATAGATAGATAGATAGATAGAT